ATTTGAAGGGTCTCTCTCCTGAGGGGTTAACAGACAACGATGATGAGAATGAGATGTCATAAATGTTTAACTGACAAACACAGATATAAAAAAAAAAGCACATTGAAAAGAAACAATGAACTTGGTCAAGCTTTTATGTAACACCAGTTCCTCAAAGAGTCATGGGATCAGTGCTGGAGCTGTTTTTACACTCGCAAAAGCTTCATTTTTAGAGGATGGAGGGTGTAACATTGTCCACTGATTCTGAACTCTGTATGTGCAAGATCTCATTATTAACAGTTATAAGATAAACAGACTGCATTTTTGGAGGCTATTTTTCCGGACTTGCAGCGATTTCTGGCACTTTAACAGCACATGGTATGTTCACCTCTTTTACACACTTATGCACACATAGATGGCAGAGATAAAGATCCAGTCTGTCACTCATTACTATCATTTATACACACTTACACCCTGCAGGCTCCAAGTTCTTGCTACAAACACTGAAGAAGCCAAGGATCAAACCGTCAACCTCCACAGTGAGGGATGAGCAGCTCCCCCAGAGAGGAACAGTCTAAAAGCTGTTTATTTCACATAAATTGTTATACTGTATGAGGGTTGTATTCCGTGTCAGAGGACTTAAAGCTGCTCCCATGTCGGTTAAAACTGAAAGACTCAAAAGGATTGTGCGTGCTGCTGGGATACGTCAATATTTGCACTTAAGTTTCACACTGTCCATTTTAAAAACTCATCTTAAAACCCATTTTTATTCATTGGCTTTCAACCCTGCATGAGACTCAGCTCCTGTTTTAGTGTTTTATGGTTTGTTTTTAGTTATTTGTTTCAATGTTTTTAAATTAGTTTTTAAAAAAAATTGAAACTATATTTTACTTTTTAATATCTGCTTTTATTTTATCCATTGTTTTAATTGTTTTTTGATTGTTTTTTTATGTCTGTGTTGTTTTGTCTTTGTTCAGCTGTGGTTGTTTTAAAGTTTGTTACAAATAAAGTTGAGTTGAGTTGAGAGGTTTCACCTTTCAATCAGTTTTTTGTTTGCTTATATGCAAACACAGAAATTTAAAGGTTGGTAGAGCCAATCCAAATACTTTTTAATGACTAGAATTTAAGTAGAGCCCTACTTCCAGTAGCTTTTCAACAGTCATTTGGTCAGACCACAGGTAGTTACAGAACTGCAGCTCCTTGGAGGAAAAGAGGCCAGCCTTCACAAAAGTTTTCTGACTGAAAGAAACTCCCCATATTTAAGTATCACTCATGAATAAGAGCCTTACTGAAACTTCACAACATCACATGGGTTTAATGAATCGCAGAGGAGAAAAAAAAGTCCTTTAAAACAAAAACACATGGGTGTCTTGAAATAAAAAGTACGAAACACTTTCTCTAACTTCAGTATTTGGTGCAATGGTATAAAAAGTGAAAGAATTGGAACACAAGTTTTTCATTTTATTTGTTTTCCTTCCATCTAATAAAATAAAACCTGCAGACTTTTCAGCTTAAAATCAAAAGGAGCTCAACAAATTTATTATTGCTATGACAGAAATGGTTCTTTCCCGTGATAAGTTAGTTCCCCTGTGAATTTCCAATACTTTATGAAAAACAAAGAGAATGGCACGTGAAGTGAGTGGTTTATCGCCATGTCAATAAAAGGTCTGATAAAAAAGTTCACACAGACACATAAACGGACTTCACATTGTTCTTCTCATGCACGTGATTTTGAAACTGATGAGAATAAAACACTGTTACTGTTTGTCTCTATTAGAATTGAAACACAGCATATTTAAGCAGCTGCAGTTAAAGTCGATTTAGAGCTCATCCAGCAGTGACCCGTCACCACAAGCGTTGAAAATGCAGGTAGTGCGTAAAAAGTGACTGCGCTTTGAAATGTTAGCCACACTTTTTAATAATCTGTACAGGGAGAGGCTGTTTATGAGATGTGAAACACTGTGTAAAAAATGTGCGGTTGTTCAATGTAGTGTTCTTACCCCGGTAGCTTGAGTCCCATTCTGATCTTTTTTTTTTCTTAGGGGTCTTTAAATTGTGATTATGAAGTTTTTAGCCAAAATCATGTTGTCTGTGTCATTTTCAAGGATGTTTCTTTTGCAGAGCTCCAGTAGCTCATTAGGAATTCGCCTCAGCGCTCCTCTGCACACTCCTCTTCACGCAGGCTTGCAGCCTAACATTGCCAGTGTAGTAGAAGTGGCAGTGGCATAGGAGCTATTCAGCTCTCTGTCACTAATGTCATTCGGGACATGATGAAAGTTAAATTCATAATTAGCTTTTTTACGAGCATTGCAATCGTCCTCTCTACTTTTGCGAGTCTGGCCTGCACAGTGGGGCTCTGGGGGCGGAGCTTGGATTTGTGAAGTAGGAAATCTCACTGTTTCTGAACCTGCTGTTTGGGTCTGCCGGAGATTTACAGTAATTTGAGCGCAGAAATACTCAGGAATGCAATTTCGCACTTAGTTTTCTCTTGACATGTCCTGTAGCATCAGAAAAATGCATGTAGACAACAAGAAAAACATGATTTTCATCAGAGTGGGTCTTAAATCTGTCAATCAACAGGAAACATTTAAATCTTAAGAATATGTGGACCAAAAAAAAAAGTGATGGATATGACTTTGATGGGAAACCAGACGGGTAATGGCTTTCATTATAGGATAGATAATTAGAATCTTTGACACCTGTTCATTAATCTTAAGGAAGCAAGTATCAAATTTACATTAAATCCATGTGCCAGGACTGAAGTATGTGTTCAAGAGTGCCTACAGGTGGAAGAGTTAGCAATCAGGAAGACTGAGTACATTTATTTTCATTGTAAGTTAAAGGGGGTATTTTCAGCTTTCAGGATGTAAGTGTTTAAAAACTTCAAAACACTTGATCCTGCTAACCCACAGAGCATTAATCAGTCTAACAGTGAGTGATTTAATTGAGTTTTTGTTGCCTGATGTTTGTTCAAAATAAGGTTCAGGGTTGTTAACATCCTGACAGGAATTATATATACAAATATATATAGAGATTTTTGGACATGGGCTGCACTCCACAAAAATACAGGCACTGGAAGTAGCCTTAAAGAATTTTATCAGTCAAGCTTTGACAGTCAAACTCAGTCAGGCAGGGTGGCTCCTTCGTTTTCAGCTGCGTGACAACAGATTTGAATGTGAAGCTTAATCAGTGGAATTGACACATGTCATCACAAGGGAGGAGGACAGAAATTGAAGGTTTCCGGGGAAAATGGCAGAGAAACTGAGGAGCAAACAGAATGAATTATGAAAACCCAAATGAATATTTATAACAGATTTCTTGATCCTTGGACGCCTGCCAGACAACGGTTAAGAACAGTATTTGTTTCACTATCCCAATTTCCAAAAAAAAAAAAAAAAACACTCGTTATTGACAGCCTATCTGAAAAATGCAATTTCCCTAAGCGACAGAATGACATGGTGAAATGATAACTGAAATTAAAAATCTCAGATTCAGTCAGGCATACTGGTACACATGCCTATCACTGACAGCAGCATGTCACACTGATGTCCCTGTGTGTGTGTCTGCATCTGTGTGTGTGTGTGTGTGTACATAACAGCAAACCGGTGCCAACAGTGAAAAACTGTAACTGTTGAGATCCTGAGGTGTCAATCACCAGGAGAGATTATAAAGGTCCAAACTTACAAGGCGTGTGGGCGCTGAAATTAGTTTCAGACATGAGTTCATGGTGTGTGCTGCCGCTGCTGCTGCTTACCTGTGTGCTGGCGTCGGTGTTTGGTGAGGGCGTGTCTTGTGCCTCCAGCGAAACCGCACAGGTCACACAGATATGACTTCTCTCCTACAGAGACAGATTGAGAGAGGGAGGAGGAATCGTGAGGTTCTTGCAGGATGGAGACAAAAAAAAATTGTAGGAAAATTTGTTTGAAAATAGTTTTGAAACCTGTCAGGATAAGGAGAAAGTAGCTGGAACGGAATGACACCTTTTGTGTCATTCATACTAGATGATTTATATTTCAATTCATGCAACAATCGAAATCCAACACTTCTAGTTTTTTCTTTTACTTTTTTTGTCAAAGTAATTTTTTTAGATCATTAAACCTGGGTTGAAAAGGATATCCAAAGAAAGACAGGAAACACAGGGCTAAGGGAGTAAAGGATGACATACAGCAAAGAGCCTGGAGCTGATTTGATTTGATGCTGTACCTTATTTTATCTTTTAATTGTACTATCTGGTCGATCATCACGACAGATGATCCACAATGTAGAAAGCAAAGTTTATAAGGAGAAAGTATAGTTAGTCGAAAGACAGAGCTACAAATAGTGCCAATTGTTGGGAGTCACATAAGTGACAGCATTTATAGTAACTCCTTTCACTGAGTCACACCAAGAGTCAGCTTTTTTTTAAGGTGTTTTCACATTAGGGGCTGCTGTTTTCGAACCATGCCTCGGCACACTCGCATAAGCACACAGTCTGAGACAAAGAAACAACCGAGGTAACCGTTTGCCATTAACAATCTGGTGGACGATTGGGGTCAATCCTGCTGTAGTGGGTGATTTTACTATCTGGACACACCAACCGAGACCCTCCCTCACTTCAACATCTACTGCACATCTCAGAGAATGAGACAGGGCCTTGCTGTGCAGACAGGACATGTTTAAAACCAACAGAGTTGAATAGTTAGGCGGCTATGCTGCAAGTGGCCCACTTCATTGTTTTAGCATGATCCTGTTCACGTAGTCCAAGTGGCCCACTTTATTGTTTTAGCATGATCCTGTTCATGTAGTCCCAAATGGACCTTCCCCAAGACCATCATGTCTACTTTAAGTTTACTTGAGCACCATGCCTGAGTCTAGTATGACTGTGTTCATACTGATTAAATAAATAGGACTTTGGGGTCAGGTGTACTCCTGGTCCAGGAGTGAGTCAACAGTTAGAAGGCACTTTTTGTCTTGCAGCGCCACTACTTGCTGACGTCCAATTTGGAAGGGAAACACAAGTTTACCAACCACCAAACCGTTATTACGGTGGCCCTGAGGTGCAAAACACAACGGCAAATCAGAAAACACAACACAAAAAAGGGAAAACAAAACGACAAAAGAGATAACACACTAGCATACCAGAAAACACAACAACGTTAACATTTTGTTTTCTCTTTTTGTGTTGTGTTTTCTGATTTGCCATTGTGTTTTGCACCTCAGGGCCACCGTACATTATTGACTTTCTTTGCAAACAATGACGAGCGTTACGATGTTAAGAGGAGGCGGTGCCCTTTGTTCAGGCTTTTCTCTCAGAGTACATGAGGATTCAATGGACGTTGTTCATCAATCACACGTTGGCGCTACTTTAACCCATCACTGGCTGCATCTGTGGTGGATGTCATGACTGTCTTTCATGTTTACAGTAAAACTAAAACGTGGGATAGACACGGTGTTAATGTTTCACAGAATTTATGACACTAGGGACGTTATTGACACCGATGGACGGACCACCCCGTTCACTCTTACCCATTCAGACATAAATTCAAACACCGATGGCAGATGGTGATCTGCCAAGTGCCAAGCTGCCCATTAGCTCTGAAAGAATCCCATTCACGAACATTTACATCAAGGGGTTCAGGGTCCAGCGCACTATTTGACATTTTGACGAGTGGACGGAGGATCAGACTGTCAATCAGCCAATTAGAATATGATCCAATCGCCTAACACTAACAAGGACAATACTCACTTTTATCATGCTTTAAATAAAATCTAACACCGGCCTGAAAACAGAGAGCAGGAAATTAAACTGAAAAAGACACCCAGCCGTCATCGTGAACTGATTAAAACACTACGTTTTATGTTTGCTAGTTTTGTATTCATCCAGATCTTGATACACATTTATCCGCTCAAATGCAAAACATGTCAAATAAGTGAAACACAAATAAAAATGGATAGAGTATAGAGCAGCGGTTTATTTTTCTTCTTCTTCCTTTTTTGAGTGATTTCACAAACACTGCTAAACTTAATTAATCTGCCACTGATAGTTGTTAATTTCAAGTCACACAGAAATTAATCAAAACAAATATGATTAAATAGTCAAACTACAACTTCAGATATCAGTGGGTGATTAAAATTGAGAGGCCTTTAAAGAAGATTCATAAAATCCTTGAGGCTTGAGTGGGAAAGTCTGATGGATGCAGGAATGAGCGATGCTCTCTTCACTCAGGACTAAAACTAAAGAGCCATTGAGCGAGAGAGTGAGAGCTCAGATAGAGACAAAGAAGGAGAGAATATTGTGTTGATGGATTAGGAGAAATGTGTGAAGGAGGAGGAAGGCAGAAAGCGAGAAAAAGAAAGACAGACTGAACAGATGAGCAGAGGGTCTAGTTGGCTAACAGATGAGCCAAGCAGAAGTCACAGATCACTAGTGTATATCCATCAGAGCTCTCACAGCTAACTAATTCCTCCAATCACATGGATCCGTGTAAATATGTCAAATGGGGGACGGGAAATTGCCAGTGTGGTTTATTGACTGTGATAAAATCTGAAAAGCACCGCTGAACATAATTACATACTTGTCAGAGCCATAAAAATTAGCTTTATTATCAATGGGATGGTTTTGTACAACTTCATTTGGGGGCGATGCCTTCCAGATGGGGAGCGTGGAGAGCTTTTTTACACTCCTCCTCTCTTCCCTGCATCTGGCTCTGTCATTAACAGCATGATGGTGTCTCTCTCTCTCTCTCTCTTTCTCTCTCTCTTTCTTTCTACCTCTCTTTTTCACTCTGCCGTTACACACACGCACTTACACTCACACATATATTTAATAGCTTTTGTGGTAGGACTCACTCAGGTAAACATATGCACGTGCGCACATAAACACATGCAACACACACACACACACACACAACACAGGCTGAGGTGCACATACTCCCTCTCACACGTACTCATATATCAAACTGCATGTGGTGCACTTATAACAAATACTATGCATGTGCATGTTGTGTACCGCTACATGTACATGAAAACGCTGCAGATAGCGCACATGCTAACATACAAGCACTCAGCGCATCACTTAAATATTCATCTGAGTGCTGATGCCGAACTCCAGCTCTCGCCACACACTGCTAACACATTTGGGTGACTCTTCCAGCTGGGCCTCAGCGGTGCTCTGCTCCTCTTCAGCACAGATAGCAGCTTTCAGTGAGTCCGCAGAGACAAAGCAGACTGGAGTTTCTTCTATTACACCCATTTCAAGCCACTCGACTGTGAGAAGAGTTTTAATGCAGTGCCACTTAGAGAGGAGAAAAACAGCCTTAAAAAGGTGCATTCGTTAGCCTATTCATACAGGTTCACTTTTCAATCCCGACATGAATGGCTTTTAAATGAATACGGCTTTAATATAAATTAATATCAATTCAGTTGCGTCTTTTGGTCTTCACTTCAAACAACTGCATTTCCCTTCGGTTTTTTACATGTCCAAACGATCACAGGGTGGGGAAATGTGCCAAGAAAGGGGAATATTGAATGATTTCTGCATCAAAAGTGTTTTGCGAAAGTGTCATGGCAGAAATTGGTGGTATAATTTCATCAGCATAAAAAGAAAGAATCCAGTGTGATTGACAGGTTATCACAGTTGAGCAGAGACCCACTGCAGACAGCCCGGGGTGAAGTGATGGAGACACACAAAAACTTCACTTTTTTTATATAAATATCCACGACTTAACTAAAGAGAACTTTAGCTGAAATGCTCTTTAATTTGTGCGCAAATTAAAAAGCTTCAACCAGCATCATATTAAGGTTAAAAAATTGCCAACCCCTGATGGTTGACAGAGAGATAAAGTAAAAAGAGTGTCAGTAAAGAAACAAATGCACAGGAACTGAAAAAAAAAGATATGAAAAAAAGAAAAATATGCTATTTTCTGATTTTGTCATGGCTGTACTCTAAAAATTCCTTTTATTCTCCTGCAATCATGTCTCTTCCCGTCTGCTGTGTACAAATCTGCTCCACCCTCCATCACAGACATTAAACCACCATCTCTCATCCACACAATAACAAATACCAACATTTAGTTCAATCGTTTCATTATCTAATAAAGACTCATTTACTACACTTGTATCTGTTGTAGGTGGCGAGGGAGCAGAATGACGGTCTCTGTATGTTTTTTGTCATAGACTAGTACGAATAGTACAAAGAGAGAAACACACTCAGTGCAGATACACACAAGACCATAGACTGTATATGCGATAGGAAACTTGGCTCCGCCTTCTGTCCTTATATAAATTTGAAGCCGAATTTCTCTCGATATTTCCGGGGTTTTCTCCACTTCCTGGAACCACCATTGGCGCAGTAGCGTTGTACGCATTCAGCAGAAGAGTCGCTGTGAAGACTCTCGGCTCAAACAGCGTAACCCCCAATCTTCAAACGCCCAAACGCTGTATCAGGTGTCAATCATAGAAAACGTGAACCCCCGAATAACTATTAAAAATAGAGCTGTACAGAAAAAAAGAGGCCTCGAGCACAAACCAGTCTTACAGTAACTACATGTCAACATCACAACCAGGGGTGATTTATGACCTATACTGCAGCCCGTCACCAGAGGGTGCTGTTCTCGCGGTGGCTTCACCCAGCGAGGAGGCAGACGGCATCCATTCTATATACAGTCTAAAATGAATGATCAATCAGGAAACAATTATCTCAGGTATAGATTATTTTTTGGCAAATTTGTGTACATGATAAAAAATAAAGTAGCAAGGGTAACCAATATAGGTGCTCAGGAGTTCTATTTTTTGTTGCCATTGTAATAAAATAGGCCTTCATGTTGTCTAGTTTTTACTGATATGGTGTTCATGTTCAACATTTTGGTATTCTGATAACGTTAGTATGTTATCGACACAAGCTTTAACGTGCCGGAGCCGTGACTACAACAAAAAGGTGACAAGAACCCAGACTAAAATACGGAATGACCCCGCTTAAGTTCTAGCAGACCATCCTGTGTTCGTGTTTCACAGATCTGATAAGCGAGAGAAAAATCCTTTCAGTCCTCTAATGTGAAAAAATCTGATCAACAAAGCGTCTGCACACCGTCTCTCTAAACTCTGGATTAGTTCTCAAGGATCTGGTCAGACCTTTTCTCCCTATCAGAAAAACCGCACTAGTCCCTCTCACACCGCTCTCCTCCCCTCCCCCTCCCCCCTCCATCTCTCATTACGCCCAACGCTACAAGACCCCACCACAGAAAAATCCATAGCCATCGATCCCTGCGCCCAGCCGTAGTCGCCACAATTATTCTTGAGGAGGAAACGTTGGCGATAAATTACATGTGTGCTTTTCATCTGCTGTTCTGCGGCGAGGAGCCCTCTGAGGACCCGGGTGGGGATGTTGAGGTGGGGCGGTGGGAGAGTGACATGCTGTCAGCACTGGGGGATCTGGCAGGATAAAGCAGCATGATCCCCCCAGCCCACAACAGGACCTTATTGACTGGATTTATTCCTGATTCACCTTAACCTCCTCCTTTTAGCAGTACACAAATAACACTTAACCTTTATCTTAAACTTGATCCTTAAGCACCGCTGCTATCAGCTCAAACTTTGATCTTGCTCCAATCTGAGCTCAACCGTTCCCTTCAACTCTGAAGTGAAAAAAAATAAATAAATAAATAACCACCAGCTGTACGCTTGCGGAGAGATTTAGGCCAGACACACACGGCTGCAGACAAACACAAATCAAGCTGTTCACATCCTTTTAAAACTGAGCACAACCAGGTGTAGCTAAATCAATGCCTTTAAAATGACAGATTCTGCTCATGTGCGGTGAGATCTGCTCAACTTTTTGGTGACATCACTTCTCTTTTGTTCACATGATGCACATCAACTCTCAACCACCTAGCTGAATTAAATATGCCTTATTGCCCGACAAAGAAAGAACTTTGAAGTCAAAATATACAACCTCTCTTTACATGTGTGTGAGGAAATATATATAAATATATATATATGTATGTACGAGTGTGTGTGTGTGTGTTTTAAATAACCCTGGAGGCGTCTGTATGCAGCTATAATTGCCTCCCTCATTAGTTATGTTTTAGCAGGAGCGAATGGGAGGGCAATTAATTTTACCGCTTAATTTTTGACACAGAATCCGCTGCTGTATTGATGTGCTCGCCATTTTGGGTCTCATTTTTCAGGGAAATTAATTGACAAAGTGTGAAGATTTATCAGCATATCGCCAG